TTCTCTCCTGAATTATTATTTTTTTTCTCTACCGGCTTCATCCATCAGCTTATGAATATTGTTATTTCTCCCACCTAAAGTCTCTCTTGATTCTACTTCCTCCAGCCACAACCTCATGGTATTATTCCCTTTATCACAAAACTCCTCAAGGAAGAGGACAAAAACTTGTCTGTACTCACTGTCTCCAATCCCCTCACCCCTCCAAACTCTCTAGACCCCACTCAATGAAGCTTTGCAACTCTGAAACTACTCCTGTCTTCAATGAACTTTCCTTTGCCAAGTTCAGTTGTCAGTTCTCAGCTCTCATGGTAGTTGCCCTATCAGCAATAGTGAACAAGGTGACTGCTTTCTTCTTGAGCCACTCCCTTCATCCAGCTGTAAAGACACTATTTACTCCTACCTCATTTGCTGCTCTGTCTTAGCTTCCTTTGCTGGTCCTTCTCTTCCCCCTAACCAAGACCTCTTCACACTGGAGGATGCTATGGCTCTGTCCTTCAATGTGTTCTCTTTTCTATCGACACTTCCTTTCCTGGTCTTCTCCTCCAATCTCATGGTTTTAAATACCATGTCTATGCTTATACTGCCCACATTTATATCTTCATCCCTGGCTTCTCCCCTGAACTCCAGGCTCATAGATCCATCTACTACTCAACATCTGCAGTTGGAGGGCTAACTTAACACGTCAAAAAACAAGTTCCTGGCTGGGCGCCGTGGCTCATGCCTATAATCCCACCACTTTGGGAGGCCAAGGCAGGTGGATCACCAGGTCAGGAGATCGAGATCATCCTGGCCAACATGGTGAAACCCCATCTGTACTAAAAATAGAAAAATTAGCTAGGTGTGGTGGCGTGCGCCTGTAGTCCCACCTATTCCTGCTAAGGGAGGGGAATCGCTTGAACCTGGGAGGCAGAGGTTGCAGTGAACCAAGATCACACCACTGGCACTCCAGCTTGGGTGACAGAGAGAGACTCCGTCTCAAGTAAAAAAAAAAAAAGCAAGTTCTTGCTCTTAACCACCAAATTTGCTTCTCCTTGGCATTTTCCACATCAATTAATGGCAACTCCTTTCTTCTAAGTGCTCTGTGCAAATCCTTGGCATTTATTCCTCAATTTCTCTTTTCCTCTTATATTACATATGAGAGAACCCATCAAGAAATTCTGGTCTCTTCCTTCAAAATATGTGCAGACCCTGACCACTTCCTATCTTCTCTGCTGCTATTACCACGGAACAAGTTACCATTATTTCTTGTCTGACTATTTGCACACAGGCTGCCCTTGTCCTCTAACACTCTATTCTTTTTCTTTTTTCTTTTTTTGGAGACAGAGCCTCATCCTATCAGCTAGGCTGGAGTGCAATGGCACGATCTCATCTCACTGCAATCTCTGCCTCCTGAGTTCAAGTGATTCTCCTGCCTCAGCCTCTCAAGTAGATGGGATTACAGGCACGTGCCACTACACCTGGCGAATTTTTTGTATCTTTGGTAGAGGTGGAGTTTCACCATGTTGGACAGGCTGGTCTCGAACTCCTGACCTCATAATTCTCCCACCTCGGCCTCCCAAAAAGCTGGGATTACAGGCGTGAGCTACCACGCCTGGCCGGTCTATTCTTAATTTAGCGGCCAGAGTGATCCTGCTAAACGTTAGTCAACTTGGGTCATACTCTTACTAAAATTCTCTAACGACTCCTCATTTCTCCTGGAAAGTAAGCCACATCCATTACAATGATCTCTAAAGCCCTGGATGATTGGGCTGTCCTCTTGAACATCAATTGTTTATTTTTTCATGTGGCAGTTGTAAAACATGGTCCTCAAGTTCCTTGACACTCTTCCCCTTGAGAGGCCAGTGGTCTTTGTCTCCCACCTTTGAATCTGCTCTCTGTGCCTACCTGATCAATAGATTACAGCATTTTCCACCTTCTACCTTTTGGGACAGTGCTTTTTGAACCCAGCCACCATGGGTGAGGCAAGCTAGCAATCTGGAGAGCCGCGCACGTGGGGAGGAACTGAGGCCCCTGGGTGGTAGCCCTGCAGAGCCCTCAGCTGACAGGTAGATCCATCTCAGAAGTGGGTGCCCCAGCCCCTCACTGATTCACTCCAACTGATATCACATGGAATGGAGAGAAGCCATCCCCATCAAACCCTGCTCAAATTGCAGACCTTATTAACAAAGAGGTGATTATTGCTTTAAGCCATTAGGTTTTGCAGTGGCTTATATTAGGCAGCTGTAGAGAATTCCTCACTGCATGCTTACTCCCCACTGGCCACTATGTCCTCTTGGCTGTTTCCTGAACACCTGCAAATGCTTTTGTCTCCGGCCTTTGCACTTGCCATTCCCTCCTACTTCCCATATGCACACACATACCTCTCCCACTCACCTCCCTTAGATCATTAATCACTTATTATCTTTTCAGTGAGACCCTCCCTCCTAAACAGGAAAACCACATATGCTCCCACAGTGTTTTCCCCTCTTATACATTGTTTTTTGCCAGGGTAGTCATCACTGTCTAACATACTGTATGATTTATTCATTTGGATTGTTCTTTGCATGTTGAGCTCACTAGAAAATAGACTTCATGATGACAGGAATCCTTGTCTGTTTCATTCCCTGCTGGTTCCCTGGAGTCTAGAACAGTGTCTCCCACAAATGCTCCTCAATTAATATAATTTGTGGTTCTACTGCAGCCATGTGCAGGGAACCCCGTAAAGAGTGTGTGTGTGTGTGTGTGTGTGTGTGTGTGTGTGTGTGTGTGTGTGTTTTCTTCCCAGCTTTCACCTTCCCTTCCAATCTATCTTGGCTCCAGGATCTGTATCTTCTCTCCTCCTTCCCTTTCTGACTTCCCACCGGACTAAAGCATCATCTTTACTCCAGTCTCAAACAAAGGAAGATCCTTTACAAGTTAGTCCCCACCCTGGAAGGACTTTCTTCTTCCTGGTGTCAGGAACCTCTTTTGTAGCATATCATGTGTTCGTTCCACATTCATGTTTATTTTGAAACTTTATGCTCAGACCTCCATGTCTCCTTTTTGCTGGCAAACAGAGTAAACACTTCAGCTATTAAGAGAAATGAACAAGAGCAGAGAGAGCGCAGTGCTTCAGTTACATATTGCTGTGTAAAAACCACCCCAAAACTCAGAGGCTTGAAACAACAATTATTTATTTATTTTGTTCACGAGCCTGAAATTTGAGCAGGGCTCAGTGGGGGCAGGCTTCCTCTGTGCCACATGGCATCAGCAGGGCCAAATCAATTAGAGGCTGGCATGCCTGCTTTCAAGTGCAAGCTTTTAAAATTTAGAGATTCCTTCTCTGTCTCAAAAAAAAAAAAGATCTGGCTTTCAAACTTTATCAGACTTTATTCTTAAAAAAATTCTAATTTGAAGCTTAGAGGCAATCTTTGCCACTTTTCTTAGACTGCATGTACCATGTCTTTGTGAAGCAAAGAATGTTACTGACCAATGTGCAGAGAAACTGTGGGCAAGGCATTTTATGACAATTGAAAAGTGCAGTCTCTACTAAAAATACAAAAATTAGCCAGGCATGGTGGCACACGCCTGTAATCCCATCTATCAGGAGGCTGAGGCAGGAGAATCACTTGAACCCGGGAGTCAAGAGGTTGCAGTGAGCTGAGATTGCACCACTGCACTCTAGCCTGGGTCCCAGGAGAGAGAGTCTGTCTCAAAAAAAAAAAAAAAAAAAAAGGAAAAGAAAAATGCAATTACTTAAATAATGTATACTGATTGCATTTCATTGATTCATTAATTTATTTAATATTTTGATTATAAAAATGGGCGTATAGTTACAAAGCTGTATTTAGTTTATAACTATGTAACTATATGTAAGTTAGTCTCTTTATGTTGTATATCTGTTTCCTAGAACGCTGCCTGACATATGGGTGCTTTAACAAATGTTTAGAGAATTGAATAACAATACTCCTCACCTGAGGTCAGGAGTTCGAGACCAGCCTGGCCAAAATGGGGAAACCCCATCTCTACTAAAAATACAAAAAATAGCTGGGCATAGTGGCAGGGTCCTATGATCCCAGCTACTCGGGAGACTGTGGCAGGAGAATCACTTGAACCCAGGGAGTGGAGTAGCGGAGGTTGCAGTGAGCCAAGATCACACCATTGCACTCCATCCTGTATGAAAGAGCAAAACTCCATAAAAAAAAAAAAACCCTGCTTGGAAGTGGCAGGCTGCGATTCAAACCCAAGTTAGACATTGGTGTGTACTCTCTTAATCATTCCATATGCATAGGATGATTTGGAGGCTACACAGGAGAGGCATCAGACTAGCTTTGAGGGGTCACTTCCCAAAAGGGTGATCTCTGAGCTGAATCCTAAAGGACAAATGGGAATTGAATCAATGATTGGTTCTAGAGATTGAGGAAGGGTTTTCTTTGCAGGATTTGCAAGATTGCCTGCTGAGTTCCAGGCATTAGGCTAGGGGCAGGGAATACAAAGAGGAATAAGACATGCTTCTTGACTTCTATACAGAAAATTTGGGCAGATTGTCAAAACAATGTGTGAATGTAGATGCACCTGAGGTGCTCTGGAAAGATAGCGACAGCAGGAATCAAACCAGGGTTAAAAGTTCAGTGAGGGCTTCCCAGAGGAGGTGGCATTCAAGTTAACTGTTGAAGGATGGATGGGTTTGCCAGACAAACAAGGAGTGGGAGGGGCATTTCAGGTTGAGAGAATGACACAGGCAATTAAAGAATTCAGATGCTTCTAAGACCCCGAAAGCCTCAAATATGCTAGGAAAAGCATCATGTTCTTCTTTCTTTAGTATTTCCAGAAACTGAGTCTGCCGTGTTGCATAGCACTGTCTCACACTCCTTGAGAGTAGAAGGTTGTGTTTGATGTTGGGTCCTTGTTTATCTGCCTGAGATATAGGCAACCCTGCACGAACACTTGTTCTCCAGCCAAGGTACATGAGCCTCACCATTCTTGTCTTTCAGCGGGACATTGCTAAACTAGTTTTCCTTTCTTCACAGACTGGAGGCATTCAGTTCCCTCCTTAGCCACTTCACTCAGTAAGCAAGAAGTGCATATTGAAAGTCAGCCTGTGCACAGAATGAGGCTGGACGCTGTAAGGAATAAACAATAATGCAATGTGTATTCCTGCCTTCCAGAGGCTACTTACCCTCCGTCTGTACGGCCTGCTTTTTAAACCTCAAATCACAGTGCTGTTACCCTTTTGATGCTGTCCAATGTCCCTATATAACACAGGAGTTAAGGACCTGTGCTTTAAAAATCATACGGATAAGGGATGTGACAAGCGAGTTTCTAATCTTTTTGAGTATTACTGTCCTCATCTGTGAAATGTGATAATACTATTAACATAATGAACTATTTCGGAGGATTAAAAGAGTTAATGTATGTGTAGGAAACTAAGACAACTTTGGAAATAAGTCACAGCAAGCATGGCTCAAAAATGTGGATTAAGGATAAATGAGAATTTGTTCATTTACATGATTCAAAAATCCAGGGAGTATCCAATTACAGGACAAGTTTGATCCAGGGTCTCAAATGCTGTTACAAGGACTTCGGCTTTCTCCACCTTCTTTTTTGTCCTTGTTTGAGGCTCCAGGTGATGTCAAGATGGCAGCCAAGAGCCCAGACCACATGCTCCCATGTCCTAGTCCAACATTCAAATGGAAGTTCTGGGTCTGAAGATACCCTTCTCTGACTTTAATGCTGTGGCCAGGGAGTGGAATATGCTGCATGGGGTAAGCCATGACCTCATCCTTGGAGATAAGCAGGGGTCAATTCCACTCAAACAAGTTCTAAGATTGGGAATGGGAAAGTTACCCAGAATAAAATTTAAGTACTGTTTTACCGGCAAAAAAAAAAAAAAGGAGAAAAAAATGTGGTATCATAAAACAATAAGTCCCCAACATATAAGACACCAATCACCATAGCTAAAACATAATATATATGTAATGAATGACCAACAGGGATTAAATTTCAGTCGTGGATATCCTAAACAAACGTTGACTCACTACTCTTCCCAAAGAGGAGCCTGCTCAGTTCTGAGTAAAAAATATATATTATCTGCAGCAGACATTGGTTATTTGTAGCTGCCTGAAACCTCTTGAACATTCTTTCTACATTTTGATCATTTCCATCACTATTTGACCATGTCTCGTGAATCCTGCCTACTCCTAAATAGGATACAAAAAAAACTTTATTTTCCCCTCCCCCTCCCCCACTGCCCTTCAGTTTCTTTCAATCCTGTTGCATCCATGAGAGACTGTCATTTGGAAGTGAGTTAAGGAAATAAGCAAAGTATGGAACATCCATTGTGCTGGTGAAGGTGGTGGGAGCCATGTGGTTGGTCTCAGGGTCGGTGGGAGGCATTACCCTTACCAGGTCAGTTCTCTGGGGTAGCGTTAAGCATTGTTTCTAGAGCACCAGCCCAGAGATTATTCTTCTAGCTCTTCCAAACATTCTAGGAGTGTTTAATATTCCCTTAACAAAGCACTTCTTACATAAAGCAGGTAGAGTGATAACGTTATCTACAAATAAGAACACTAACTGATACTGCCCAAGAATCTCCACAGCTCTGGCACTGCACAAGCTTGCATTACAGCTGTGTGCGTACATTTTACGTATCCCTGCACACAGCTGCATGTATCCCTATGCCTGGCTCTCATTTCTTATCAGACTGTTCCCCACAAAGCGCACAAGGTACCTTTTAAAAAACTAACGCTGGAAAACACAATTCTGTGTATGGCTGAATAAAGGGACTCATGACTGACCTGAAAGATCATTTGGCAGAATATAAGAATCTTAAAATGTGAAAGGATTAGGAAATGATCTAGCTCTTACCAAGCACTGGGCAGATGAGAAGTTGAAGATCCAGAAACGTTACTTTGGCTTGAAATTTTACCCTTACATTTCTAGTTGGTATTAAGGATCATATTAATTATTTTTAAGGCCCTCTAATTTTATTTTGGTTGCTATTATTTGAAACAATTGAGCTGGCTTTGGACATCTATTTTCCTTTTCATAGAGATTTGAGCTTTATGAAATTTTTTGCAATGACCTTCAACCAGCGATAACATCAAACAGGAGCACACTCTGTACTTGTTTTGTGGCGGCTTCACCTGCTGCTGGCTCAGAAGACGGTCCAGCCCCCAGAGCATGGATTCTGGAGCCAGAATGCCTCAATTTGAATTCTGACCCTGGAACTTTCTAGTAAAGCTATATGCAAGTTATTCTCTTTATGTCTTAATTTTCCATCTGATAATTGGGTATAATGATATTATTTACCACATAAAGTTGCTGTGAGAATGAAAAGAGTTAATATTTATGAAACATTTAGAACAGTGCATGTTAGTAGAAGTCTAATATGAATTTTGTGTTATTTTAAGGTATTGTGCTTGCAGTTAACCAAACTCTCACCTCTTTCATGTATGTGGCTGCCAATTGAGTCTCTCCCAATCTACAGTTGTGCCATCAATTTCATTTTCAGAGCGCAAAGGCAAGGCTTTGGTGGTGCTGGCCCAGCATCACTTTCATTTTCCTTTACTCTCTGCACTCCACCCACCCACCCACCCATTTCCTGGTGCAGGTGCTAACAAGAGAGGTGGAAAGAGAAGGAAAAGAAGTCTGCTCAAACTAAGCATGCAGTCTGCAGTCCTTGAGATTTGGCTGCATCTTAACATTGGCACTCAACCAAATTTAAGTGGCTCTAAGTACTTTTAAATTAGGCATACAGTTAAAATTTGACAAGCACATAAACTTAATGGCTGATTTCCAGCCAAAATTACTACAAAAACTGATTTTTAACTGCCGGTAAAATAAGCCCAGGAGGTTGTTATTCAAGGTAGCCCAGAAAAATGAAATAAGGATCAGGACAACGGGAACAGTTGTGAAGATGACAAAACTGCCATGTCTACAGGTGGTCTGCCCTGCTAATGGATATAGACACAATTCAGGGAAGCAAGCCATCCAAATGCATCACTTGAATCCTGTTTGGCTGTTCTGATGCAGAAGAAGATAAGAAACAGAATCAACTGGGGACATGGTAAGACGCGGAACTCCAAAAATAAACTTGCCGTCCCTGACATCTGTGTTTATAAATGCATTATATTAAACAGCAGAGGTTTTCCCCAGCGTTAGTCAACACCAAGGTGGCATCCTGCATGCCTTGTTTCTTCTTCAGCCCTAATCTTATGGGCTTTCCTTGCTAACTCTCTTTGCTTCCAGCTTTTGTCTTATTCTCCCCATAAAAAGTTGGCAGAGCATGGCTGGACAATTTCAGAAACATGGTTTATAAGTGACCTGCTCCATTATTTTGCTATTAAAAGTGAGTCTGTGCTGACTATTCCCTGATGAAGAAGCAATCCCTTCCAGCACCCAGGTGGAGATTTTCCCTATCAATAACCACAGAGCAAGTTTGAATCAAAGAAAGGACACATACAGTGGCCAGATGTTTGGAGAATAAGACTGGGAGCTAAGTTCACACAATTGTTCTGCCTTCTTGCTTTCCACTGAGGTTCTTTCCTGTGGGCTGTAGGACTCATTAACAGACGGCTCTGCTCTGGGCAGGCACGCCGATAGCCTCAGCCTAGCCCTTCAGTGAGAGGCTGCTAACAGGTGGCCTTCCTTTTCCTGTGCAGCTGGTGTTTGCAGAAGGACATGATTTGAAAGTTGATTTATTTACCCTGTCTTAAAAAAAATGAATGGACATAGATGTCTGCTTGTTGAAACAGTTAATAACCTCTAATGATATGATGAGAATTTAACGGAAAAACATCCTTGGCTTGCAGGTGGAAATCCAAGGTCTTCAACTTTTGGGATGTTCATCGTGTAGCTGTCTCACTCAGAACAAGATAAGATGACGTGTTTGGTCTTTAAAAACAAAACAAAACAAAAAAACAGCTGATCAATTCTTGTTTTTCACTCTACAGCCTTTGAGTCATGAATGAAGAAAACCGCTTTCACTTGTGGAAGCCAGTGGGCTCCAGTTTGTGTTGTCTCTGTTGTCCGTGGCGACTGAAGATGTTTATATGCAGCTCAACTATAAGAGGAGGAGAACACACCAGAAAGGGCCTCTTTCTCTCGGGCTAGCACCCCCTCTCGAGTCCCTTCAAAAAGTCAGTGTGTCTGTGACACAATAGACACAGCTTAACTAAAGTGAAGAGGGGTAGACCAGAGAAGATGTACTTTCTGTCTTTAAAAAATGTATTCATTATTTTGGGCAATAATATAAACGTGCACATCAACTTTAAAAACTTTCAAGGACTATTCAGTGAAAAATCATTCTCTCTCCCACCCTCACTCCCCATCACACACCATGTTCCCAAACCAGAGGAAACTGCCATTACATTTCCAGAGTATTCTTCCAGAGACATCCTATGTAGATATAAACATTCATATATACACATATACATGTGCTTTTTAAATATACATATAGTGATGTACAATACATATTGTGCTGCACATTGCTTTTTTTTTCACTTAATACATCAGACAAAGGTGTTTTTTCTGCTCAAAAGTGCCATCAAGAGAGAAAAGTCATTCTTCAGTTCAATGATCTGCATCTGTTTCTGGCTTATTGTATTGACAACAAACAAGATGCAAGTCAAACTCTGCTGCCGCCGTAGGTAATCTCGGCCTGGAGAAATAGAATCCTCTTTAAAACCTCAAAACTTTGAATAACAGAAAGTGTGGAGTGCCTATAGGAGAAAGGGAGGGATGAATTATGTTTAGAGGAATGTTTGGTGGAACTGACAGTTGAGCCGAGAGACATTCTGGATGCTGTCTTGCAAAACAATTCTTTGCCAGCTTTAGTAAGTAGAATGCAAAGTTATTGGCTGTATAGCATTATTTTTGCTAGTTAAGGATCTCTGTGGGTGCCATAGTATCAATATTCTGGATACAACATGAGGGAGGCGGAAAGAGAACAGGTTTTGGAATCAGGTGGACCTAGATGTTAATACTGGATATACCACTTATTAATTTAAACAAGTTTTCTAACCTCTCAGAGGCTTGGTTTTCCTTTATGTAAAATGGAAATACCATACATACTTCAAAGAGTGGTTGTGACAATTTGTTTAAAAAGAAAAAAAAAAGCATACTGTAGGTGTCCGCTATTACCGTGATGCCGCATAACAAACAATCCCCCCTTCTCTGTGACTTGAAATAATGAACATTCATGTTGTGTTCCTGTTTCCATTTACTGTAATTTAGATGTACCCAGCTGCTCTTGCCCAAGCTTTTCTGGCCTCTAGGCTTTGGTCTGGTTCAGGTCTGCTCTACATGTCTTGATTTCAGGTCAAAGGGCAACCGTTGCTTGGGGGCATGCTTTTCTCTCATGGCAGAAGATATAACTGCAAGAGGACTATAGTTCTTACAGACATTGTTGCTTCTGCCCACATTCTATGGGCCAAAACATCACAGGGCCAAGGCCAAATTCAGTGAAGTATGGGGAATACTCTCCCCATAGTGAACCACAGCAAAGGCAGGCAGGGGAGGAAGGATCATAAATAATAGATTCAGGCCCCCAGTGCAGCACCAGGCATCTAGAGTGTTCACATAAATATGAGCTATTATCATTATAGTATCAAATCCGAAAGGTATTAGAGATAGCACTGAATTTATAATAATTCTAAAACACACCTTAAAAGCAATTTTTTTAATTAAAAAAAAACACTTTTAAAAGTCAATCAGTTTGTAATTTTGTTTTTCTCCTAATCAGAGTAGGCATATATGGTGCTTCTGTGTGAATTTGAAAAAAGGTGCCTCTCTAAGCAGATGAACCCTAGGGCTAACAGCAAGGCCAGTGCATAAAAACAAGTTCTCCTTCTGGGAGGCAAATGCCGCTCTGCAAAGAGCCCCTGGCTGGCCTGGGAGAGCTGAAGGAGAGCTGCCCTCTCTGCTGAGCACGTTGTACAGTGCACGGCCTATACACCACATGCCACAACGCAGCTCCTAAGAGTTGAAGGTGGCCTGGGAGCCTCATCCTGCTTTCAGTTCTGGTTCATTGACACCGTTGCTATAAACAATTCCCTTGGAGCTTTGATTCACAGCTTCCTTTCTGCTTTCCAACTTATGGACTAGAAAATTTGAGCTTTGGGGACACACTGGCACCTATTTCCCAGAGTTCCTGTGGCTTTTTACATCTCCCATCTGAATCCAGACCTAGGTGACCTAGCAGCTCCCAGACAGCTCTAGGACCTGGAAACTGGGATCACAGAGAAATGTACAGACTTACACAACTTAATTTTCTTCATCCTGACTGACAGGATGAGGACAGAAGGGAAGAGGAGGGAACGCTAAAGAAGCTTTAGAAGGCACTGACATTATAAGCTTGTGGATAGATAAGCAGCTCATGGGGAGTGGAGTGTGAAGCAGCAAACAGGGGGAGAGAGATTGAGGGAGGCACCCCAGGGTGGGGAGGGGGGAGATCCTTATGTCTACACATAACAACTGCTGTGAGAAAAGATGTGCAATTCAGTCCTGCATTGCTTATTTGGAAAATTAATTAGTAAGTGGTTGGCAAACAATGGTTCCACTGAACAGAATATTAATCTTCCCCCAAAGTTATTTAGACCCTAGGCCTAGAAGGCAGAGGAAGAAGAAAGGATCAGGGAGAGGAGGAGGGAGAAAGAAGGAGAGAGAAAGAAGCATATGGGATGGGAAAGGATAGGAGAGGAGGGGAGGGAAGGCAGGATCTGTGTCTGCTTTGCTCCCCAGGATCAAGCACAGGGCTAGACTGGAAGAGGTACTCAATATGAGAGTGCATGAGTGACACAGAAGGGAGATTGCAATATTGATAACCATGATTCTTCTAAAAGCATTGCCAAGTGACTGCAGTGAGACACTTACATTCCCACTGATTTGCTAAGTATATTACTTGGAGAACCACCCCATACTCTTTCTAGTATAACTCATCAGTCTTGTCCGTACCACCTTTCTCATCATTCTAGATTAGTCCTTCTTTTCCTCCTCGTGAAGGCAGCATAAAGGCCAGCATCCCGTGCTCACTCGCCCTCTTGCTCTCTCTCCCCCTTCAAGTTTTCCTGTTTTCTTGATTGTAAGCGTTGGTCAGACACTTCCTCTGAGGTTTATTTGCAGTGTGACCCGTGAATCTTTGAAATACCCTTCTCATGGTCTCACTCCAGTGACACCATGAGCAAAGGATGGGTAATGACAGCTCATCTGGAGATACTAGCTGCTAGGTTGTTTTCTTTTATGCTGTCTAGGTGCATGCTCTGGAAGAAGACAGAGGCACTGAAGGATGCTTCCTCAGTGAATTTGGACACTGTCCAGAAACAAAGCCTGGCTTCCTTTCATTTTTGAAAATGTAGTTGGGTCCCATCAGGTCTAAAATGATTGTGTCTGAACCTCCCGTCTCAGGAATGAGTCCTACCGTTGGTCATCCCAGCCTCCTCACCAGACCTTTCCAGATCCATTCGGAACCCAGCTGCTGGAGCGGAGATTCAACATTCTGGGGATGGCATGTTTATTTCGAAACAATCATGAGGCTTGATTTGATGTAGTGAAAGAAATTAGTGCTTGCTGAATACGGCCCAATTATTACAGCATTAATTCATACAGATTAGCAGCTGACATCGGCTGGGAAGCACACGTCAGGACATTTCAATACGTTTGGCTAAAAAGAGCTGCCTCTTCATGGATGCTGAATGCGCCAGCTCCACCTCCAAGCCCAGATGATGACTCCATATGTGGAATGACTTTCACATCAAGGGCGTACAGTGTTATTTTAATATTAGCTGGGGAGGGACAAACAGAAGCATGGCTGGGAGATGCCCCCAAAGCTGGGCATCAAACAGATCCCATTTAAGACCTGCTTCCTCCCAAGTCCAGGTTCTGACTACTAAATGATTCTTTGGAGATGGGAGAAACTGGTACATGCTAATAGAAACCATAACCAAACACTTCCTTGTGAATTATCAAATTTAGTACGTGAATCTACACCTTGTGCAAGCAGTTACGTATGCTCTCAGCTGCAAGTAACAGCAGCTTAAACAAATAAAGGACTGTTTGCTCACTGTTGTGGACTGAACCGAGTCCTGCCAAAATTCATCTGTTGGATCCTGAATCCCCACAACTTCAGAATGTGGCTGTATTTGGAGATAGGGCCTTTAGAGAGGTGATTGATTAAAATGAATCATGGCCCTTGGGTGGGCCCTTTATTATTCAGAATTCTCCATAGAAGCAGAACCATTAGGATATACACGTAGACACATTGTAAAGAATTGGTTCACACAATTTTGGAGGCTGGCAAGTTCTAAGGTCCAAGATCTGCAGGATGAATAGGAAAACTGGAGACCCAGGAGGGCCCATGCGTTAATTCCAGTCTGAGTTCCAATGCCTAAGAACTAGAAAAACTGAGGTGTAAATAAATTCAGTCTAAAGGCCCGGAAAGAGCTGATATTTCAATTAGAGCCCAAAGGCTGGAAGATAGCTGATGTTCCAGTTCGAAGACTATCAGACAGGAAGAATTCTCCTGTACTCATGGGAGGGCCAGCCTTTTTGTTCTCTTTAGGCCTTCACCTGATTGAATGAAACCCACTTACATCAGGAACAGCAATCATTTTATTCAGTCTACCCATTTAAATGTTAATTTCATCCAGAACCACCCTCACAGACACACCCAGAATAATGTTTAACCAACTATATGGGAACCCAGTAGCCCAGTCAAGTTGACATGTAATATTGACCACCATGGCCCAATCCAATCTGACTGGTGCTCTCATAAGAAGAAATTTGGACATGCAAAGAGGCACTGGGGATGTACGTGTACAGAGGGAAGAGGATGTGAGGACACAGTAAAAATGTAGCCATCTGCAAGCCACAGAGGAAGGCCTCAGAAGAAACCAAATCTGCCAATTCCAACAGCTTGATCTTGGACTTCTAGCCTCCCGAACCATGGGAAGGCAAATTTCCGTTGTTTACGGCATCCAGTCTGTGGTATTTTGTTACGACAGTCCTAACTAACTCATATACTCACACAGCAAGAAGTCAAAGGATAGACAGCTGCGTGTGCTGGTTCCACAGTTCAGGGGCATCTGGGTACATGTCTTTAGGATTCTTTTGGCCTCTTTTTATGTATTGGCCCCATGGTCACATGGTGGGGCCACTGCACTCCAGGCAGGAAGAAGCAGTGGGAGATAGGAGTTTCTCTGCGAGGCTTCAGGAAAAAACAACCTCTCCAATGCACAGGTGCCTACGTCTATTGGCCAAACCTGCATGGCCACTATGATGTGTAAGAGAAGCTAAAAAATAAAGTATGAACCTTCCGGGAATTTAGAGTGAAAGAAGGCAAGGGAAGGGGAGTTGTGACTGTATGTTGAATGAGCCATTCTACAATACATGCCACAATGTAGTTAGCCGAAAGAATTTCATGCTGGGAATGTTTTGCACACAGTGGACACTAAAGTCTTTGTGGCTAAAATGGTGGGCTGAGGTTCGTGATTCCCATCAGGCATGTTTTCTGTCCCTCCTCAGATCCCCTTGGTACCATCATTTTTGGGCCCTTTGGTCACTGGCTCTCTCTCACGGCTGTAGAGATCCACCAGATCCACTTGGACCTGAGCAATTTCAGCATTTGAGGTTGCCCAGTTGCTCGCCAAGAGGGTCAGACCCTCCCTGTAGGGACCGCTGTGTCCCAAGGCTCATTAGCCATGTAGCCTTCTGTTTCTAGGTTTTTGTTGTTGTTGTTTTGCCACTCTGGTTTGGATGAAACAAAGGTTCCGGCTTCCCAAGCAGCTCCCTGCAAAGCCGGGTATTGCTGGGAGCTGTGAGAAGAGTCAATTCCCCTGTAGAGTAAAATTTGACCAAAGGCAAATAGGAAATGAGAGAAAGTCCAGTAAATTCCCTCTTTCTTTCCTCTGGACCTCTACAAGATATGGTTTCTCTGTACATCCTAATTGGAGATGCCCACACAACTGAGTAGACACTGGATGAAGTTTTTGTGACTGCTATAACAAGTTACCTTAGACTGGATGGTTTAAAACAGAAATTTATTCTCTCATAGCTCTGGAGGCCAGAAGTTCAAAATAAGGTATTGGCAGGACCTCATTTCCTCCAAAGTTTGTAGGCGAGATTCAGTTGCTTCTTTCAGGTTTTGGCAGCTTCAAGCACTCCTTGGCTTGTGGTCACACCACTCCAATCATTGGCTCTATGGTCACATTGCCTCCTCCTCTGCTGTCTGTCAGATCTCTCATGTACCTTGTAAGGACACTTGACATAAGATTCAGGGCCCATCTAGATAATGCAGGATGTTCCCTTCATCTCAAGATCCTTAATTACATCTGCAAAACCCCCTTTTCCAAATGAGGTCACATTCATAGGTTCCAGGAATTCGAATGTGGACATATATTTTGAGGGGCCAGCATTCAGCCCACCACGGACACCCTTGCTGAACAATGAACAAGGCTGTTTCTTTTCACATCTCATTGCGAAGCAGTGGCCGGAATAGAAATATGTCCACTTTGCATTGCTCCCCTGTCATTTCTTTTGTTCTTGTTCTCACTGTCTGGAGAAGGTACCACTTAAATGAGGCGTTAGTACTCAATCCTTGTGATAAGATTTGGTTGTGTCTCCACCAAATCTCACCTTGAATTGTAGCCCCCACAATCCCCACATGTCATGGGAGGGATCCAGTGGGAGGTAATTGAATCATAGGGGTGGAATTTTTCCTGTGCTGTTCTTGTGATGTGAATAAGTCTCACAAAATCTGATGGCTTTAATAAAGGGTAGTTCCCCTGCACACTCCCTCTTGCCTGCCACCATGTAAGATATGACTTTGCTCCTCCTTTGCCTTCAGCCATAATTGTGAGGTCTCTCCAGCCACGTGGAACTGTGAGTCCATTAAACTTCATTTAATTTATAAATTACTCAGTCTCAGGTATTTTTTCATAGTACTATGAAAATGGATTAATACACCTTGCCTCAGATTCTGTTTTCAAGAACATGAAGACTTAAATAATAGTTAAACAATAATATTACAGATCCTAGTTGTCTTAGTCAATTTAGATTGCTATAATAAAAGACTATAGAGTGGGTACCTTGTAGCTGGGTTTTCACATGGTAGAGGGGGCAAGCTAGGTCTCTGGTATCTCTTTTATAAAGACACTAATCTCGCTCAGAGGGCCCTACCCTTATTACCTAATCACCTCCCAAAAGCCTTGCCTCCTGCTACCATCATTCCGGGGGTTAGGACTTTAATGTATGAATTTGGGACAGGAAACAGAAGACACAAGCATTCAGTCCATAGCAATATTGTATACAGACAGACCCTAAGCTTTGACATCAGAGAGATCTAAATTCAAGTCCAGGCTCAACAAATTGGTAGCCGTGTAACCTCAGGCAGGCCATTCATTTATCTTCTCTAAGCCCAGAGTTCTCACTTTTTAATATGAGTAATAATAATTCTTAGTTGTAGGGACATTACAGGGATAGAGTGAAATTACGTCTGCCAAATACTCAGCAAAAACATGTAAGAGGTACCCAATATATGTTAGCTGTTATTAATATTAAGACAGGCATACCTCAGAGATATTGCAGGCTCAGTTCTAGACCACTATAATAAAGTTAATAATGCAATAAAGCAAGTCACACATTTTTTTTGGTTTCACAGTACACGTTAAAGTTATGGTTATACTATACCATAGTTTATTAAGTGTGCAATAGCATTATGTCTGGAAAAATGCACATACCTTAATTTAAAAATTCTTTATTGCTAAAAACTGCCAACAATCATCTGAGCCCTCAGCAAGTTGCAATTCTGCTGGTGAAGGGTCTTGCCTTAATGTTGATGGCTGCTGACTGATCAGGGTGGTGGTAGCATAAGGTTAGGGTGGGGTGGAGTGGCTGTGGCAATTCGTTAAAATAAGACAACAATGAAGTTTACCACATCAATTGACTCTTCCTTTCATGAAAGAGTTCTCTTAGCATGTGATTCTGTATGATAGTATTTTACGCACAGTAGAACTTCTTTCAAAATTGGAGTGAATCATCTCAAACATTACTGCTACTTTATCAACGATGAAATACTCTAAATGCGTTGTACACCGGGAATAAATTCCATATCTAGAAAACATTTTCTTTGCTCAACATAAGAAGCAACACCTCATCTGTTAAAGTTTTATCAGAAGATTGCAGCAATTTAGCCACATCTTCAGGCTCCACTTCTAATTCTAGGTTTCTTGCTGTTTCCACATCTGCAGTTACCTCGTCCACTAAAGTCTCAAGCCTCAAAGTCATCCATGAGGATTGGAATCAATTTCTTCCAAATTCCTGTTACTGTGGATATTTTGACCTCCCCCATGAATCATGGGTATTCATAATGGCATCTAGGATGGCAAATCCTTTCCAGAAGGTTTTCAATTTACTTTGCCCCGATCCATTAGAGAAATTATCATGTATGGCACCTGTAGACTTACCTCATATATTTATTAAGTAATAAGACTTGAAAGTCAAAATTACTCCTTTTACATGGGCTGCAAAATGGATGTTATGTTAGCAGGCATGAAAACATACTCTTATACATCTCCATCACAAAACTTGGGTGACTAGAAGCATCGTCAATGAGCAGTAATATTTTCAAAGCAATCCTTTTTTTCTAGCAGTAGGTCACAGCATAGTAAACTATGCAGTAAACAGGTGTGCAGTCATTCAGGTTTTGCTGTTCCATCTACAGAGCATGGGAAAAGTAGCTGTAGTATAACTCTTGAGGGCTTTAGAATTTTCAGAATGGTACATGAGGATTGCCTTTAACTTAAAGACACCAGCTGCATTAGCTCCTTACAGGAGAGTCAGGCTGTCCTTTGAAGCTTTGAAGCCAGGCATTGACTTCTCCTCTCTAACTATGAAAGTCTTAGATAAAATCCTCTTCCAAAAAAAGGCTGTTTCATCTACATTGAAACTCTGTTGTTTAGTGTAGCCACCTTCATCAATAATCTTGGCTGAATCTTCTGGATAACTTGACGCAGCTTCTACATCCACACTTGCTGCTTCGTCTTGCACTTCTGTGTTATAGAGACAGCTTCTTTCCTTAAACCTCGTGAACCAGCCTCTTCCAGCTTCATACTTTTCCTCAGCTTTTGCACCACTCTCAGCCTTCATAGAATTGAAGAGATTTAGGGCCTTTCTCTGGATTAGGCTTTGGCTTAAAGGAGTATTGTGGCTGGTTTTATTTTCCATGCAGATCACTAAAACTTTTCCCATGATAGCAACAAGGCTGTTTTATTTGCTTATGATTCATGCATTCATGGAGGAGCACTTTGAATTTCCTTCAAGAACTTTTCCTTTGCATTCACAACTTTAACTGTTTGGTGCAAGAGACTTCGCTTTTGGCCCATCTGGGCTTTCAACATGCTTTCCTCACTAAACTTAATCATTTCTAGCTTTTGATTTAAAGGGAGAGACTTGTGATTCTTCCTTTTACTTGAAGGCCACTGTAGGGTTATGAACTGGCCTAATTTCAATATTGCTGTTTGAAAGGGAATGAGAAAGCCCCAGGAGACAGGCCTATCAGGGATGCAGTCGGAATATACACAACACTTATTGATTAAGTTTCACATCTTCCATAGGTGCGGTTTTGGCACCCCAAAATAATTTAATAGTAATGTCAAAAATCACTGATCACAGATCTCCATCACAGATATAATAATAATGACAAAGTTCGACATATTTAGAGAATTACCAAAATGTGATACAGGGTCATAAAGTAAGTGTATTTTGTTGGAGAAAGCATGGGGCCAATAGACTCACTCAACACAGGGTTGCCACAAATCTTCATTTTGTAAAAAATACAGTATCTGAGATGTGCCGGAAAGCGAAGTGAAACAAAACGAGGTGTGTCTGTGTAGAAACGGATATTAGCAAAATATTCCCTATGGCCATTTGCAGTGAAATAACTCTCCTCAGGCTCAGGGACAATGGTGGATGGTGTCCACAGGATGTGGGCTCACTCTCACAGTGTAGACAAGAGCTCGTTGTTTCCTTGCAGCTCCCAACATGCGCATTTGAAGAACAGCAGAAATGGTCGCCCCAAACATCATTATGTCAGTGTTCATTAAGATAATCAAGTTTTCCAGATTTTTTATGACTTGGCTCCAACTGACTAGTCCGTTGTATTTCCTACTCTTCCCTCCATGGGTCCTAGCTTCTTGTTTTGCTGGTCTATTGCCAGTTCCCAAACAGACTCAACTATATGCTGTACTTACTTCCTTAGATTCCCTCCTACCATTCGTTCATGCACAAATCACAATTCTAAATGCTTTGCCTCACTATCTTATTTAAGCACTGCAGTAGAAGGATGAAAAAAACAGGCAGCCTCTCCCTTTATATAATTTATATAACAGGTTAGAGAAGAGGAAAATACTTATGTTATTCTAACGAAGCATAGGCAGGCTTCTGAAAGAGAAAATCCTGAGTGTTATGGGAACCAAGAGCAGAGAAATCAGACCTGTTATCTGCTTACCAAAACTACCCATTCTGCAAGGCTTGGGTCGCAGGCTAGCCCGTCACCACTCAGCAATTGTCCCACACTCATCAGAAGGAACTGATCCTCTGTGTTTGATATATTTTACTTAGTCATATTAAATAGCACGTGCCTTGTGCTATGCTTTGAAATAAATACTTGATGTACATTGTATCACTGAAACTTTACGATAATCCTAGTAAATAAATGATTCCCATTTTATAGGCAAAGAAGCTGAAGTTTAGAGGCGCATGTAAGCAGATCCTTGCGTCAGTACTTCCTTCTTTCAGGAACTCTCTCCAATGGTTGCCTGGTTGCCTCCTACCTTAGATTTAAGCTTAGATGTCACCTCTTCCAAGAAGCCTTCCTTGGCCATCTATTCTTAAAGGGCCACCACGTCGACTCACTCTTCCCCATGACTCTATTTTCAGAGAACATTATCACTCTCTGAAATTACATTTTTTATTTATTTGTTTGCATGCTTATTGTCTGTCTTCCTCTGTTAGAATGTATAAATACAATGGAGTCGATAAAGGCCTCTTCCTCTAAGTCAGGTCATTCTGTATCTTTGGCATTTGGAGATATATCTGATACACAGTAGGCCTTCAATTAATGTTCATTGGATGAATTAATAATATAACCAAGGTCATATGCAGCTGGTAAGTGGCAGAGTCGAGATTTCAGCCTACGTTTGTCTTTCTCCAAAGTCCAGGATTTAGTTCCTTTTATAGACTTTATACTATCCATCTTGCTTTAGAATTTGTCGTTGCTGTTTTTTTAACTCTCTTTCCATTATGGTTCTGAAGGCAATGGCAACCATGACATAGCCATCTTTGTTCCTGTCCTAGCTCCTGTCAGGACACTGCCTCGCTCCCCACACACTGCACCCATATTTGCAGAGACGAATTGAATATGTTTCCATGACAACACCAGAGGAGGAAGAGGGGCTCTGAGACCCCGTATGATTTTCCTCTCCTCTCCACTGAGGCTAGTGTCACAGGCTGTGGAAGCTTCCTCCTGAAAGCTCTCAGCATGTAGGTCCACAGGCCAGCCTCAGGCTCGAGGTGTCACTCACGGCCTGGAGAGGAAGGCAGCACCTTTTGGGTGACTCTTTCTGTAGTGTGGCTTGAATGATCCATATTCCAGGGATGGAGATTGCAGCTCAGCCTCCATTTGAGGATTAAGGTTCAAGTCCTCGAGTTTACTGGAAGAGAATCATAGTCCTTAGGGCAAAACAAACAAACCAACAAACCTTCCTTGTCCCCATTACTGAGGGAGGGGTTCTTCACACTGAGAATAACCGGGCATTTCAGTGGCAGAACAGGCATTATTTCACATAGCGAGTGGACATAGCTCAGCAAAAAGCTTCCCTGACACATGGAAGCTTCCTTCCCTGTCTCTGACTCTTAACTTTTCACATTTTCCCTTAGCAAAAATAACTGATGGAATCTTACAAAACTCCCCACTCAGCCCCTTTCTCTGCTCCTTTGGAGAGACAGAGCAGTGAAGCATTTCTTTAGGGTTTGCAAAAAAAAAAAAAAAAAAAATCACTGTTGTCATCAGAAGAGCCAGAGGAATAGAGAAGTCAAAGTGGCTGCTGTGCACAGCGCCTGGCTGGCAGCCCTGAAGGCAAACCATGACCTCCTGACCCCTAGAGCCACCAGAAGGTGAGAGCCGCAGGAAGATCAGCTGCCTCTCCGGCTCCTCCCCCAGGGGACCGGCCACAGCTATGGCAGCTGCCTCTCCTTCACCACGCTTTCCTTCTTGGGTAGAGATTTGGAAAAGGCAGTCCACTTTCACGAACTGACAGAGAAGGCAGCTGCCTATAAAGTATGATTTGACAGCAGTCAGACAGGACTTTGTCCCTCAAGATACCTCCCTGTCGCCTAAATGTCCTCCGTTAGTGAATTCCCCTGAGTGTTACAGCATTAGTTTTAGAGAGAATGCTACTGAAATGCAAACTCTCCGGGAAAGGCTAACAGTCCAGGAAGTAAAGGTCAGCAAAGTTTTTCTGTAAAGTGCGAGATGGTAGATATTTTAGGCACGTGCACCGTAAAGTCTCTTGTAACTACTCGCCTCTACCTTTGGTGCAACAGAAGCCAAAAGCATATATCAATGAGAAGGCATAGCTGTGCTCCAATAAACTGTATTTATAAAACCTGGAAACAGGCTGGATTTGGCCCATGGGTTATAATTTGCCAGGTTGGCACTAGACTATAAATCAGTTACTTTTCTTACCACCTCTTTATCCCTAGTGCCTTTCACAAGAGCGACGCCGTGAAGAATTGCTGAAATCATGTTTGTTAAAGTACTTAGACAACAACAGTTCAAGAGAAGCTGATTGATGACCAACCTGTCCAGAAGGAGACTCCAGATAGGTGGATACAGTGGGAGTCTCCACGGGTTAAGAACTGAGGAGACAGGGCTCTAAAATCAAATTTACCAACTTACCATTTTTAACCAAACAGATCCCATTGGTTACAGTCATAAGTCTCAGAATCCTGTAATTGGCCGAGATCCCTGAATTCTCCATGTCAGACCAGTGGAAAGTACAGGCAACGAGCAATGGAGATTAGCGACAAACAAGGAACTTGGAGCGTCATTGCTCTTTCTGGTTTTGGTACTTTTGTTAAATCCCTGTACTGCAGAAAGATATTTGCTCCTGTCATTCTATAGAGTGAAACAGATCCCCACTGCTCTGCCTTTAGCTCTGCTAAAACCCTTTGGTATGGGGCGAACTGGATTTTTGTTTTGTTTTGTTTTGTTTTGTTTTTTGAGATGGAGTCTTGCTCTGTTGCCCAGGCGCGATCTCAGCTCACTGAAACCTCTGCCTTTTGGGTTCAAGCCATTCTCCTGCCTCAGCTTCCCGAGTAGCTGGACTATAGGTACATGCCACCACACCCAGCTAATTTTTCTATTTGTTGTAGAGACAGGGTTTCACGATGTTGACTGGTCTGGTCTTGATCTCCTGACCTCAGGTGATCTGTCCATCTTGACCTTCCAAAGTGCTAGGATTGTAGGCGTGAGCCACTGCACTTTTTTAAAAAGTCAGCTCTGTAATTCCATATCCTACTTACCTTCTTTTCTCCCTTGGCGCAGTTACATCCCTGTGGGAATCATGGAATCTAAAGTCTCCCTATTGGTGTCTTTCAGGATGGTGGAAATCAGGATGGTGAATTTCAGCATTGATTTTACCGCCACCTTAACTTCAGCTGTTTTCTGGACTGCCATCTTGAGTTAGTAGAGGCTGGACCAGAAAGACCTGAGTTGTGTGTAGCTATTGCAGTTCCAGACATCTGGGGATCTTGCATCAGCAGGACAGGTAAGGATATGCTGCAATAGCAACAACGAAAACAACACATAATTATAGTTTCTCAACACAACCCACATTTATTTATTGCTCATGTTACATGTTCAACGTGGTTTGGCGGACAGAATGTACTCATCACCGTCATACCTGTACCCAGATAACACAGGGTCTGTCATGACATGTGCCTTGTTGGTCATCTCCTTAAGGGAAAGGGCATGACAAATCATATGCCAGCTTCCAAAGCTTCTGCCCAGAAGCGTCATATCTGCTCACATTTCATTGGCAAAACAAGTGACATGCCACATGGAACTCCAAAATAGTCTGCAAGAACAATCCTACCACATGCCTAGAAGGATGAAATAATTGTAGGCAGGCCACATGACTACTATAGAATCTGAAAAAAAGTCACACATGAAGAGCCAAGTAGCCTCATGGGAAAGATACCTAACTAGAAGCTGAGTACTGATACGGAGGGGAAAATTCTGAAGACCCTAAGAACAGAAGTTAATCTGAATATTTCTGATGGTGTAGCAGATAGAAGCAACACTCATGGAGGGAATAAAAATTCTTCAGGGCCAAGCCGGAGTGAGGTATGGGCTGCAGCAGTCATTGAGGACAATTGATGCTCCACAATGAAAGAAACCGTCAGAC